ATTCGACTTTTTTTTTTTTTTTATAACAGTAGTGTCCGAGCTTTTCTGATTTCGACTCTTGCTTCTTCAAAATCAACAGGTACCAAATTATGATGGAAGCAACAAGGACAACAACAGTCCAAGTATTTCTCCATTACCTCCTCCTCCTCCGTCTTCTTCTTCTTCTGCGTCTTCGTCATCTCAGCTTTCAGCTTTGGAATTAATTAATGGAATAACATCAAGAGGGATGAATAATAATTCATTTATGTCAATGGCCAATATTTCAACTGATCCAAATTCAGTTTATAATAACTCATCTGGATTTTCTTTGCCATCTCTAAATTTCTCATTGGATCATGGACTTGGAAATGCAGCCTATGGAAATAATCTTCAAGAGACAAATACAAGTGGAAGATTTTTATTTCCTTTTGTAGGTTTAAAACAAATTTCAACCACAAATACTACAAATGATGGTGGTAATGAGAATAATAGAGATCATCATCAGCCTGCTGAAGAATCTACTAATGGATTTTGGAATGGAATGTTAGGAGGAGGAGGTTCTTGGTAAAAAAAATATATATATTATACAATAATATTTCAAGGGTTTTTCTTCTATTTTCTTTCTGGGGTTTCTCCTTTTTTTTTCAAAAAAAAAAAAGATTTCTTTTTACTAGTAATTTTATGATTTTTCTTGTAGTGTTTATTGGTGGGGGTGGCCTTGTTTGGATTTAATTTCTTCAAAATTACTAACTCATAGGATAAAAGGAATTCTGATTTCTCCTAATTAATCTTTTTTAGTTTACTTTACTCTCTCATTTTTCATATAATTGTCATTAATTTACTTTTGATTATAGTTGGTGGAAGTTATCTGAAAGAAAGGGAAGCCCAGATTTTTTGGAGGGCAAGAAGACAAGAATTTGTGATGCCTATAATTATTTTCTATTATCATAAAAAGGAAGGCAAAGAGATCCCATTAATTAGTGTTGTTTTAATTAATGTCATTAGAAAAATAAATGTATTATAATGTATAATTTTCAAGTTTGTATTGAGCTTTGTGAGACTTGTTATTAATTTATTTGACCTACTTTTATTCTGCAAAGTACAATTTTGAAGCATAATTTCTGAACATAAACATGGCTTATTTCATGATTTATTACTCTTTTCCCAAAAAAACTTTTAAGGTTGTCAGGTTCTGATTCACTTCAAATGGCTGTATATGACTTAAGCCATGAGCATCAATAGCCAGGTTTGATAACACAAAGAAAAAGGAAAACCCGGTAAACAAGGTATTATGCGTTCACGCAGGGTTTGGAGAAGGCCGTACCCCAAGAACTGTAATATAGACAGTCTATCTTAATGTTAGCATTAGTGGTTGTTTTCAGAGCTTAAACCCGTAACTTATAGGTCACATAGACACAATTTTACCGTTATTTTAAGACTCCCCTTCTGATTTAATAACATAGTGGCTTTGATTTACACACAATGACATTGTTTATGAATTATGTTGTAACCTTATATGATACCTAAATGCAGAGGCGGACCCAGGATTTGAAGGTCGATGGTGCACTTTTTGGTTCAACCAAAATCTGTTTTGTATATAGGGTGCCCATACTATTTTCTACATGTATAAATAGATTTTTTGCCGAACTTTACAAGTGTCGGTGACCCCTCTACCTATTGCATAGATCCGCCTTGCCTAAATGGCATGATTCAACGTGCTCATGGACGTTATATAATCTCATAGGCCAACTAAAAGCTTGTATTTAGGAGAAAAAAAGCCTCTTATCCACGATTGTTTCTTTAATTAATATAAAGCTGGTGAACGAATGTGTGTCTTTTTTGTTAATTATTGAACCAGGAAATAAAGTGATATTTGCTATAAAATGTAAGATAAAATCAAAGAAATACTTATTCCTGATTTATTTTTCTTCCTTTTTTCGGGGTGAAGTGGAACATACATATACATTTCCTACTACAGAAATTGTTGCTACTAAATAAATATTTTTCTTTTATTTAAGATTAAGACGTAATTATTATTATTATCATTATTTTAGAGTTAAGACGTGATTGTTGCCGTAATCAGGGCAAAGCTAGCCTTACGCGTTTCGCCGAACCTAGTAGCTTTGATCCAAATAATGTATTTATTTCAACTTTTTTATTTAATATATACAACTTATTACTCTAAATAAATTATAATACTAAAAATTTATAAGTTTCATATATATATATATATATATATATATGTGTGTGTGTGTAATGCAGAAAGCTGGCCAAATAGCAGTTTCAATGGGATGATAATTGCGCATGTTCTTTTATTGTTAAAAAATTAAAAGAAGTAGGAAAAACATCTGACAAACTCTAATTTTTTTGGGCATTTGTGGGATCCACAAACATTCCCCTTGACTAGCGTGCTAAGGAATAATCTCTCCCACTTTATTCCAGATCTACACCCTCCATTTCTCTGTAATTTGTTAATAATAAATTATAAATATCTATATCAAACTAACTCGGATATATTAACTGCAAATTAAAAGTCTTACTCTAATTTTCAGAGTTCTAATAATTTATCATTAAAGTTGATCATCAACTTATAACAATCTTTCTCCTTCAGAGGTAGATCTACCGTACATAGGAATTCAATAGCTTTTGCCTAAATTATGTTTATGTATTAAGAAATTCATTAAATACCTGCAAATATTTGAGTATAAATAATAATTATTATTGTATATTAACTTGAGCTCGTTATATAAACTTATAAACATCAAATTCTAAATATGCCTCTAAATGTAACAATAGTAACGGGTAGCCTAGTGCACTAAGTTCTTGCTATGCGCGAGGTCCGGCAAAAAGCTAGACCAGTGTTTCGGAGTCAGAATTTTCGTTAAGGGATGTCAAAATATATAAAAGTAAACATACTAGGAAATTAAGGTGAGTCAATACATAGTATAAATACATATAAAAAAAAAATTTATCTACCTGCACTGTATTTTTCTCGCGAAGGGGTGCCAATTGACACTGCTTCTTTTAAGGTGGCTCCGCTACTGAGCTAGACCACAAAGGTCTATCATACGCAATATTACCATACTAGCAGTAAGTCACTTTCGGTGGACCATTTTCTTTCAGGCCATTTTAGGAGGTGTTCTCTTTAAGAAGTTGGAAAACCCCCAATAAAAGTTTGCACATTTATGAGTCTTTTTATCCCGTGATATTCGGGATCTCTTAACAGAAATCAATGATATGATCATATGAATAATTTTTAATTTATTTATTCATTGGATCGTATAATTTCCTTGGTAATATTATGCCTTACGTATTTTCTTTACTTTTCTTTTCAAGCAAAGAATGAGAGTTTCTGTTTTAGAATGAAAACATCATTAACATTTTGGTTTAATTTGTTCTCTTTTAGATTTTCTCTTTTTTGCTTGAGTTTGAAAAATCAATTTCATGAATCACGATTACAAGTTTGTGATAGAATATAAGTTTACAAAAATACCAAGTTATCAAATTGCAATCGAAAAGGGAAAAACAGAACCATAATTATATTTCGATATGATACTGGTATCACACTTTTAAAATCAAAAATTGAAAATATCGAATGGAAATCTTTCAAAACCGTGTACAGGAGCATCTTAGTTTACTCAAGATGCTAATGCAAATCAAATACTGTTTCTTTCTGTGGTATGTATTCAATTGAACCCAACTCATTGATCTGCATTGATCCCGAAAATACGAACCTTGTGCATATTTGGAAATTTGGCAACAACCAGTATAAAAACTGCGACTGTGTTGAAGAACAACATTGGGTGTTGATAATCAGTTGTATGAGAGGCTATCAAGTACCTGTGAGAAGAAACCAAGTATGAGAGCACTACTGCAAATGCATCATACAGTACGGAGGATAAGATGGACAAAAGACCAAAAAAAAAAAAAAAAAAAAAAAAAAAAAAAAAAAAAAAAAAAAAAAAAAAAAAAAAAAAAAAAAAAAGAGATAGCGAGGTGCACTAAGCTCCCGCTATGCAAGGGGTCCGAGGAAGGACTGGACCACAGGGGTCTATTGTATGCAACCTTACCTTGCATCTCTGCAAGAGGCTGTTTCCACGGCTAACTTTACTAGTTACGCCAAGGCTCCCTCAAGATGAACAAAAGACGACAACAACAACAACAACAACAGCATACCCAGTATTTGTGACAATCACAAATAAAATTAGTTAGAATAAAGAATCTTTTCTCAAAAGGGAAAATGAAAACAGAGGATCATTGCGTAGTTGGTGGCACAGGCAAGACGAATGGCAAACAAATCAATGTCCTACCACATCATTAATACAAAAGCTGCACTGGTTGTTGTTCTGGGTACAATAAATGAGAACACCACATTTTCCACTTGCTGATCATCAACCTTAGCTACCTTCAATGTTCCTCTTTAAGTGACAGTGCATAAGCTAGTGTAACATTAAAATGAAGCAGATTTGTTCAACAAGCATCAAATCATATGCCTTACAAAAAAGTAATGTCCCTAATTAATAAAGGAGGAAGGAGAGTCCAAAATCTAGGATGGATGAATAAGAAAAGAATGCTGCAAAATATCAATAAACATAATTCCAGATAGGGAAGTAATAAGCACGGCAACCACAGCAACACCCTCCCNTTCCTTTGCATCAAATTTTGTGATTCTTTTTTATGAAATTAAAGGGGAGAATTCTGTGAAAAGGCCAGAAAAAGTAACGCTATGCAGCAAAGCAAACTATGATGTGTGCATAAGCCCATAGCACAAAATAAAAGACACTGACAATGGTATCAAGACGCTAGTGCTGATTCATCATTTTACTCTGTGCAAAAAGTGGGATTGGGCTTTGGGGTTTCTTTTTCATTTTTTCTTTTGATGAGTGTGCATTTGGTTGATCGCTCATTCATCATTTTCTCAACTATTTCTAAGTTTAAAATTGAACTTTGTCAAGAATTGTTTTGCATACAAATCAACTGCCTTAAGGAAGCTTGCTACACTTACAAAGATTAAATACCAAAAAGGTACATATTTCCTGGTGCAACTCCCAACATAAATAGGTTACAATGCAAACAAAAGTTTCAGGAGCCAGCTCGGCTGTACCAGACTCCAAAAGTGAATTTTCATAAGCTCTATGTCATTGAGAACTTGAGAGCTTCCTAAACAACAAAACATATTGTTAAACGAAGGATGCATAATGCTTTTCTTATGAATAAATGGCATTTTTATCCTTGAAATACTGAAAAATCAGTGCCCCCAGGGCTTAGTTCAAGTGGCAAAGGTTGAGGGACTTATAACTTACGTCACAGGTTCGAGCCTTGCGCCATGCGAACTAAGCCTGGTATTTAAGTGGAGAAGGGTAGAGGAACAGGTCCATTATCCCCGAGCTTCGAAGGGTGCAGTTGATCCTAAGGGTTGGTCCCAGACAAATTTCTCAGTCATCCAAGAGAAATATTGAAAAAGCAATAGCGCGTTTAAAATGTGGAAATTAATTTGTAATGCTTTCAAAAGAATTTATTATTCTGCACTTTTTGTTTTAGATCATTCAAAACTAAATCTTATGAGGAGAACCACATTCCAGACAACTCGATGACTCCAGAGATAAAGAGCAAAGATTGAGACTTGACGCCACAAGACTATGAGTTTCCTCCTTCAATTCCACAATTTAGGTAATTTTTCCAGGCTCATAGGTAAGATTTATTAGTTTCTACAAACTTTGAGTAATAACCTTTAGGATAGCTACCTCCAACAGTTGTAAAACAAATTAAAGATGATTCTTTTCCCATCAAGATTCACAGTCAATTTTTTTTGTGTGGAAAAGTTCACAGTGAATTTCTTTTTTCCCCTTTTTGGGGCGTAGGTCCACTGAACGCTAACTTTAATCAAATGAAAATTCAGCATATTGCTTTCAGGGGAAACCGCTGTTCCTTTTCCCATGGACCATTTGGGTTCTCAACAAACTCATAAATGTTAGTAATTGTTATAAGCACTAATTAAAAATTCAACAGTTGCATATCCACCTTAGGGAGAAGTCCATTAGTGGCTCAATAAGCTGTGAATGCTCAATAATTGCTAATGGAACCTGTCACAGTCGTCCAACCATGGCATGTCCAGATACCTTCTGCTTCAGTCATTAAATGCTAACAGCCTAACACTTTCTAGAAGTGTCAGATTTTGGTTTTACCATGTAATATGTAGGCCTTGAAGCTAAATGGTACCAACTTCCCACTAAACTAATACAATTGGGGTATATATCAATCAGCAGTGTATCAACCTCAAACTAGCCGGTTCAGCAAATGAAATCCTCAATGCCCGTTGACCCGTTCTGGTCTATTAAGGTCAATTTCATTTGACTACTAAATAAGTTGTCTTGTACGGCAAATTAGCAGTTCTCCAGAACTAAAGATCTCAAAATGTTACACTTACCCCTAAACGGGCATAAATCTATAACCAAAATAAAGACACTTCAAACAAACATCAGGACTAATTTAAGTGTAAAAACAAGTAAAGCTTAATTTCTAACTCATTAGTATCAGCCATACAGAACCTTTGATTCCATTCTTAGCTAAACTCTCATTGATTCTGAGAGATATTCAGCAACTTGAAACATTCTGTAAGCTAACACTCACTTCCATGTAATATTGCTGGTGCCACAATCCCACAACCATTTTACAAAACTTGGTCTTCACCTTGATAGGTATCTTCCTATCGTAAATCACTCCACCTTTTGAGTGATCATATTCTATGTGTTAGTTCTTCCTTTGTCATGCTATTCTCTAGGAGATATTGATGCCATATTTTCCACTGTAAGAGTCCAAAAAATGCGACTATGAGATTTAATCAGACACATTATCCTCTTTTTTGAAATGGTAACATGGTGAGTCGAACCCACAACTGTAAGGTTGGAGGTGGAGGGTGCTTCCCACTTGAGCAACCCTATCTTGTCCAACACATGATCCACTTATTTGAGGAAATATCTTCAACACCGAATTCTCCATAAAAATTTATAGCATTAGATTCGATAAATTTGCTCGTGTTGCAATGATGCTTTGTTGGAGAAGCTATTAAGAATAAGTGGTTAAAAAATGCTTCCAGTACAGCTTGTTATGTAGGGACTATATCATATATTGTTTTGATAAGGAATTCCCAAAAACTAGCAGAAAAACAGAGTAATCAAGCTCAAAATAATTAACAATTGGGCTGATATCATTGATCATGGAAGTTATGCATGAACGTAATAATCATGAAAAAGACTTGTGCATTATCCATGATGTTTTCATTCAACCGCTGCACGATCACCAATTACATAAAGCTTGGATGCTTAATTGGTCTAATAACTACACTCTATTTCCTGACTTCTTGTCCCATTTATTATTAACTTTCAACTAATAATAGTCTCATATAAAATGAAAGATAGCAAGTTTTAGTTAACCAAACCCATAATCAGAGCCTAAGAATACTACACCCTCCAATATATGAACTACTACAATGATCAGAAGCACTGTTGCAAAATGCATGACGGTGCAACTTAGAAGCTTATGCAAGTCAGTTGGAGAGCTCATATACATGTCAACTATACTTGCAAGCACGATATCTTTCACAGCATTAGAAGTCTAAATAGCAAATAACATGATGAAATTGACTACTTACAGCACCACAGGGACAACTGTTAGAAACTTCCTGTTGCGAGTAAGCTGCTTCCCATTATCTATCTGCTCCCACCAAGTCAATCTATTGTAGATACCTTGGTCATCAGAAAATGGTGTTCCCTTCTTCCAGTGAAAACATTGATATGTGACCTGAAGATAAATAGACAAGGCGAAGTCGTTAGTAAAGCAACAAAAGATTTAGAGTAAGTACAAATTCCATTCCCTACTTCCAGTGGAAAAAACTGACAAATGACGTGAAATAAGTAGAGAAGGCAGTCCTTCAAAAAGAGAGATAAAAATCGAGAGTAGGTATATTACAAGGTTTTCACCCATGCTATAACACCAGGTAAAAAAAAACATACACACACGAAGAAACACAAATTGAGACCAAAGAGAAGGTAAATATCATCAAGTAGACTTTAGCACGCCTAGGATTTATGCACAGACATTATTCACAGCATATTACATAGGTAAACAATGTTTCTTATTTGCTACTAAACACATAGGCAGGCAAGCATAGCAAGAACAAGGAAAAAGACGTCAAAAGGATAATAGAGATATTAAGACTTCAAATTAGCAATCTTAATAGAAGTCCCCAAATTCCAAATGTACTTGTTACTCCGCATGACTAAATAGAGAAATTACAAGGTATGTTAAGCATGCATCATAATGTCATGAAAATGGTCTTAGAACTAACTCAACTCAAAAAACTAGTTTAAGTGGTGAAAATTCTTGAAACCATATAAATACACTATAAAATGCACCCTCAACCAATGTGGGAACTTAACACCCGCCCCCTACTCCTACCCTCCTCTCCCGGCACAATTAGGTCTAGACATCTAGAGCATGAATAACATGACACGCGAGCTCAACACTGATAAGTCTATCTTTGATACCATGTAATGAGAACGAACCTTGGGCTAACTCAACCGTGAAGATAGTTCAAGTGGTGAGAGTTCCTCAATATTATAATAGATTAAAGTCCATAGAGTCATACACTCCATGCTCTCAACCAATATAAGACTACAGTAATAATGTCTAGCGAAATCGATCAAGATGCAAAAACTAAGTATACAAGACACTAAAAAGCTAAAGCTTTTATTACAATTTGCCTGTCCATCTATCTAAGAATCAAATATATCAATTGTGCATGCCATCAATCACAAAATAGTAGGAGTCGGCTGTATCCTTTTCTACTCTATCTAAGAATCAAGACGGACAAAATAAATTCCAATTCACCACTCCTCGAGCTACTTCTCAAAATCTCTGATTTCAAGTTGACATAAACAAGTAATCAATGACTCAAGCTTACACCTAACTCAGATTAGTTACAAATTCCGAGACAATTCCCCAAATGGCGCAGTACCATAAAGCCAGAAAACACTAAGACAAACGAGTTTTGGAATCCAAAAAAAAAAAAATCCAGAAACATAGACATCAAAAGTCAATCATTCAACTATGCATTTACCATGCATTTATTTGTGTGGACCCATTTCAAAGGAACATAGTTGTGAATATAGTTCATCATGATTGGACTCTTTAAAGCAAACTATCAACCTACCACAACCATAGTTGCGGAGCTAGCTCAATGAAAGGTGTTCAATTGAATTCCTTCGCTGAAAAATTATACTTTATAAATAGGATAAAAACTAGTGTTTGGTCATATATAAGTTGTTGAATCCCCTTGACATTAGGAAAAAATTCTAGTAAAGTGGCAACGAGGCTTCAAAAGATACTTTACATCACAAGTTCAAATCTCAGGTGTAACATTTGAGATTCTCGAATGCAATTGTATAAAATTCTAGCTCCTCCACTTACCACAACGCTCCTCCTTTATTGAGAAGGTGAATAAAACAACAGCAACTACTACTACTAAGCCTTAATTCTAAATTAAACGAGAATACGAAAAAGTAAAAAAAAAAAAAAAAAAAAAA